GGAGAGGAGAGGAGAGGAGAGGAGAGGAGAGGAGAGGAGAGGAGAAAGCAGCTCTACCTTTAATATGGGGCGAATGACCTTCTCCTTGAACTGCTTGGAGATGGTGATCTTGTCAGACACCTGCACGTCCTCTGTAAGACAGAAGGACAGAGCTGGCGGTGGGGTGAAATGTTGGGATGGGGGCACGGGGATGGAATTATGGGGTGAGCAGGACAGCAGGGCACGGCCTTCCCACCCAGCAGCTGGAGCAGCTCTCTGCTCAGCTCGGGGTTCACTTCCCTCCACTGACTGCAGATGGAGCCAAGGGCTGCCAGCCCCGCTCCAGCATCCCGCGGCTGCCTGAGCAACTGGGATGCCGGCGGGTGCTTCAATCAACACAAAACGAGGGCTCAGCAGCAGCGCTGCCTGCTGCTCCCAGCCCCGGATGGAGAGATGCTGCATCCCCTTCCCCACATCGCTCCACTCGCCGCCCTCCCAGCTGCTCTCAGTGCCACCCCCAGGCCTGGGCTCAGCACAGGGGAGATGCTGTGTTTTCTGCCCCCCCCCCCGATGTGTTTTCTGACCCCCAACGTGTTTTCTAGCCGTGCTCTCGCTGCAGCTCTTTGTTTGCCCGGATCCAGAAATTAAAATCCGATGCTTTCCTCGTTCAGGAGAAAAGCATTTGGCATTTGGAAATGTGATTCTTCAAAGTTCAGCGCCAGCCAGGCTTTGTCCTTTTGCTGCTCTGATGGCAGCTTTGAGGATCTCAAGTGGGGCGGCCAATTCTCAGAGCAGAGAAGGTGAGGTGGGGGTGGAGAGGCTGAGAAACCCATCGGGTGCCGCCCCATGGGGGCTCAGTCCTCACTAACAGGCAAAGGAAAGCGTTCAGCCCTAATTACCAATAAATTAAGCAAAGGACGAATGGAACTGCCGTTTAAGAAAGCCTCCTGCAAGGATGGGGAGCTGGGGGGCTTCAGAGAGGGGCAAACCCAAAGCAGAGGCGTTGTGGAATCATCCCTGCCTCCTCCCATGGGGCGTGCTGCTGCGCTGGGCTCAGCATTTGGGGTGGTGGTTGGGCTGGCCCATCCACGTGGCCTTTTCTGACCCCAGCAACTCCATGACCCCCATTTGGAGGGGCCCACGAGGACCATCCTGTACCTAAGTTCTCCGCAATCCTTTTCTTGCTCATCTCCACGGCCTCCTGCCTGAGCTGCAGGGCGTGCTGGGCGATCTCGTCGCTCGCCACGTTGGAGGTCATGATGAAGATGGCATCCTTGCAGTCGATGGTTTTCCCTTTGCCGTCCGTCAGCCTGCCCTGCCGTGACACCAAGGCAGCACAGTGTGAGCAGGGAGCCTCTGGGGCACAGGGCTCTGCTCTTCCCCATGGTGGGCTTCCTTATGCTGCACTCAGGGGATGGGGGTGAGCTGCAGGAATCTCACAGGGACCACGTCTCTGCCTGCCCATCTCCATCTCCACCTCCATCCCCATCCCCATCCCCATCTATCCCCATCTAGATCTCTATCTGCCTCCACCTCCACCTCCATCCCCATCCCATCTCCATTCCCATCCCATTCCCATCTCCATCTATCCTCATCTCCATCTCTGCCTCCATCTCCATCTATCTCCATCCCCACCCCC